TTTATAATGTTTTATTAAATAAAGTTTGTTCATGTAATATTACATGTGATTTGCAAGAACTGAAATATTTCAAATTCAATAATGGTATGGACATGCAAAGTGTGTGTATGGAGAATTTTTTTTTTACTTATTTCTTTGTAACAAAATTGAAATTCACTCCAGGTATGTAGTTACTCTATTGGTGGTTCTCAAGCACAAACTTACTATGGCCACATTTATTCATTAAATAATGTTTTGATGTGGATGTTCCCAAACACATTAGCTTTATTTGTTAGACATGCAAAAAGCATACAGGTACTGAGTTTATTCAGGGTATGCAGAAAACAAAATGCAACACTGAAATGAAACTTGTAACACCTCTCCTCACGAAAGACTCTGCTCCAATGAGTAAGACTGGTAGACTCAACAGTCACTCTTGCCTTGCAGGATATGATCCAAAGTATGGCAGTTCGTGAGGACCCACAGTTGAAGACTACGTCTATCCTTGCCTTTTCCCACCTCCTACGCATCGCCTGCGTAGACTCCAGGTCCCGTTATGCCCAGTACACGGACGAAACATTCGACGCCACCTGCGAGAGGCACCATGCTTCAGAATACATCTCGTGGTTTACTAGCATGCTGCGGTCAGACGCTTCTCTGCGACGGGTGTACGTAGCTGCCCTGGGGAACACGGGGGCTGTCGCGGCACTCGGTCCTCTCAAAGCTTTTGCAGAAGATGCTACTATCACCCCATACCTGCGAGCCACCGCAATCCTGGCAATGAAGTATCAAGCGCTGAGCTTTCCGGAGCAAACTTCGAAGATCCTGTTCTCCTTGTACCACGACGTCGGGCAGCCCGTTGCAGTGAGGGTGGCTGCTGTGTCGCTTCTGTTCTACACCAGACCACAACTCGTGTTGCTGCAGCGCATTGCAGTTCTAACTTGGTACGACCCGAGTCTCGCAGTGGCTGCCTTCGTTCGCAGTTCCCTCGTATCGCTGGCGAACTTAAAGGACCCTCTCCTTTCAGTGTTGTAAGTTTCTTCTTTCTAATTACGGTTTTGTGCAGTGATAATACCTACCCTGATACAGGTTCTCTTGACATTGCTTAGTCTGTTGTAGTGAATGCTGCCATTGTATCATAAATAGATCTCCTAAACCCTTGCCAAATTACCAATCATGAACACCTTCAAATCTCTATGAGATCTGAGGTTCTCACTGCGATGAAGATGTCGATGTTGGACTTCTGGGTTTACACGCCGTGTGAAATTGTATTTGGCTGATACCAGCGTTTCGGAGGAGCATACTGGCAGTAGCCTACAAATCTAATTTATGGATAACTTCATCGCCTTGAAATTCTCAGATCTCAAACACATAAAAGTATATCTCTGAACACGACTGACTTTCGACATGCGAAAAGGGCGCGCTCTAGAGCGGTCAACGAAGACTGTACTGGTCAGACTTGTGTCTTAACATAGGTCATTAGTTTTAAAATGGCGTAAGGTGACTCGATATGGTAACTCATCACATAAACCCCCTGATTATGGTATCAGAAGTATAACAGTTTCCTAAACTTTTGGTATTAACTCCACTTTCACAGGGCAGATCACCCCAGAAAACGTCATTCAACTTTATCACCCGAATAGCTACCAATTTCGATGTCACTATTCACTAAATTGTGAGGTATTTTTGCCTTAGGCTCTGAAAGTTGCATAATGTTACTTATAGTAAGAAAACTGTCAATTAAAATAATAAATGTCTTCAGATCCAGGTATGCGAGAATGGTACTGTCACTTGTAAACCCTGTACCACTCGGACTGCACAAATCCCACAACGTCATGTGGTCCACGGTGAGTGGTAGTTTGCAGGAAATCGTCTTCAACCAACTGTTGCATGAAACGAGTCTGGACGCCACCAATTTCTATTACCGCTACACACATCGCCTTGAAGGAGTGTCTCGAGTGGCGTTCCAGGTGGGCTAAGTAAAGTAACATGCTATTTGTAAAACTTGAGGTTCTCACAGCGGTGAGTATGAAGATTTCCGTCTTCTGGGTTGTTGCGCTGTGTAGTCTGGTCGATGTTAACCGACGTTTCAGAGGTCATACTGCCTCCGTCATCAGGGCGATGAGTATGAAGATTTCTGTCTTCTGCAACAACCCAGAAGACGGAAATCTTCAACATGCTATTTGTTTTGTAGGCCACGACAATTCAGCTTCAAAGAGACTCACAGCCATGTGCACGTCGGAGTATTCAAGTTTAAAATGTATTTTACTGTTCGCTTAACAACATACAAATCTGACCGTAACTGGGCAACATGGCCTATCATACTGAACGAATGTCTAAATGAATAATAATTTAATGTGAATTTCCACGTACTGCTTTAAGGGTAATAACCAATTAATTCTAAAACTGCATGAATGAAACTGTCAATTTAGCTCCACTTATGAGATCTGAGGTTTTCAAGACGATATAAAAACACTGATCGTGATCTTCTGGGACGTGATGACGTGCAGTCTTGTCCACCCAGAAGACCACAATCCACAAGCTGCCAACCTTGTCACAGTGAACAGCAAGTGTAACTCCGTTAACGAAATCTCAACACCAAAACAAGATGTGTCGATAATTATCTTTTTGGTATCTATGCCATGTAGACTTTTACGCAGATATAAACGTTTCGAGGACAAAAATTGTCTCCATCTTCAGGGCACAAGACGACCCAGAACAACGTCCTTATCTTCAGATCCGCGAGAACCTCAAAACTCATGTGAAAAATGTGTTCATGAAATTTAATTCTGATACAATTTTCCTAGGGAGACTTGTTCGTGTCTAATCCGGATCAATTCCTGACACTGCTCCGAGAGTTGATACACCCTAGGCCTGACACGTTACAAGCCAGACCGGCCATTGAGAACATCGAGAGGCACACCAGCTGGCTACGAAAAAATCTCAATATTGCTCAAAGAACTCTGCCCAAGTTTGAAGGAGATTTCCGTATACAGTTTGGTAAACTTATGGAACGTATATTCCCTTTCGACAAGAAATTACTAGTCGAATTATCTAAAGGTTAGTCAAAGTTTACAACCTATACGCGTACAGAATAGTCTATGGAGCAGATGTCTCGTGAAACTACACATCAAAATTCCTGTAAGTATGGAACATCATTATTATCACCACAGAAACCGCCACTGAATTCGATTCTGGGCCAGTACAAGCCAGGTAAGTTCGCGGAAACTACTTCTCGATGATCCAGTTTAATTTAACTTCACATCTTGTTTTCCAAAAACTGTATCCACCAAAATTCTGTTCGTCCCCCCCCCCCCCCCTCATACAAAATATATCTTAGAACACGAGGATTTTCTTATGTAAGTTTGCCTTCTTCGCCTGGGCTAATTCACCTCTGGTCGGATTACAGAAAGCACTTACTTTCAAACTACGTGTATTCTTACATTCTACCTCTTTATCAAGAGGTCACAACCAACAATATTAAGACCATAATAATAATCAAATTTTTAATAATCTTATCAAATATATGTAAATTTTTGCTGAGTATTAATATATCAGTTAAATTCACAAATTAGGAATTCCGTGGAGCAGAATTGCCCATCAGAAGCTAAATTCTCCGGCTTTTATGGAACCCCAAAGTACAATACCGTGTCACCAGCCACTATCCTGAACCAGATGAATCCAAACCACAGATCTATTTTAATATTATTTCACCACTTACGCCAAAGTCTTCCGCATAGTCTCACTCCTTCAGGATTTCAAACAAAAATTTTGTGCACACTTCTCACATCCCCGCATAAACATATCGTAAAACTCCCATACCTGCTCCCATTGGCTCGGGGCAGGCTACACCCTTCACTTCCCTTGCTGAGTATTAATATATCAGTTAAATTCACAAATTAGGAATTCCGTGGAGCAGAATTGCCCATCAGAAGCTAAATTCTCCGGCTTTTATGGAACCCCAAAGTACAATACCGTGTCACCAGCCACTATCCTGAACCAGATGAATCCAAACCACAGATCTATTTTAATATTATTTCACCACTTACGCCAAAGTCTTCCGCATAGTCTCACTCCTTCAGGATTTCAAACAAAAATTTTGTGCACACTTCTCACATCCCCGCATAAACATATCGTAAAACTCCCATACCTGCTCCCATTGGCTCGGGGCAGGCTACACCTTTCACTTCCCTGCCTATAAATCCAGCTCCTCACACCCCATTGGCATATTCATCGCCCTGATGACGGAGGCAGTATGACCTCTGAAACGTTGGTTAACATCGACCAGACTACACAGCGCAATAACCCAGAAGACGGACATCTTCATATCGTAAATTGATCTTGTAACAATTTATTTCAGCTGGAAGAAACCTGGTAGAGCAGATGAAGACCGGGAAAGACTTCCATTATCAGAAGATAGACAAAACTACAATAAGGACAGCTGTCGTTACTGAACTTGGGTTTCCTATCAATTTCGACCTGTCGGTCCCATGGGCATTTCGACTCGTGGGCAACGCCAAAATGGATGTTGAAAACAAAGTGTTGGAAATGCATATAGACATGACGTAAGTGCACAGGTATTTTGAATCTGTAAGCATATTTCTCAAAGAGCACCAGTTGAACAATTTCTTTGAAACCTAACGATGATCTTCTGGGTGTCGGCGCCGTATTGACTCGCCGGTCATAACGCCGAAGATCATACAATCCACAGAACAAAGTATGTTACTACGACACCTTTAAACAGTCGTTGTAACTGGGCAAATGAAATTTGTGTCGTGGCTAAACGCAAATAGGCCTATTAGTGCGAGTTGCAATCTAACCTTTCAGAATATTTGGATCTATAAGGAATTAAGTGATGGGAGAATGGAGAAGACCGTGTAATGAGAGATCCATAAATCGAATTCACCACAAATTATTAGTATGATCAAACCAAGAATGATGAGAACGGAGAGGCATGTAGCGCGCGCGGGAAGATAAGAAATGCGCAAAAAAATTTGGTTCGGAAGTCTGAAAGTACGAGGCCGCTTTGAAGACCTAGGCGTAGATGTGGGTTAATTAATCAGGATAGGGACAGATGGTGGGATCTTGTGAACACAGGAATAAACATTAGCGTCTCACAAAAGGCGGAGAATTTCTTAACTCTGCACCATGAATTACTGAGATATTAAAATCCAGAGCCTGAACCTTCGAAACTTATCCGCACGACGCAGACGATCAAAAGCTCTTCTCTCATTTGCCAGGTATACATCTCACCTTCTCTCTGAACTGTGTTTCTACACCACATGGGATGAAACAGTGCACATGGCAGCATCTCACGGTGTGAGCGTCTTTCGACTGCCACCTCTAACGTTAACGGCAGTCATTTACAAGAACGACATCATGCAAATGGCTGCTAAAATTGATGAAGCACATGATAACAGTTTAATATTTCACCACTCAAGTAAACCTTTCACGTCTCAACACGGCATTTTCGACTCTACGACAGCTACAAGGAAGAGATCGGAGTCGGTTATCCACGCAAAGAGAACTACACAGGTGAAAAGAACAGTGTTTGATTATGACATCTTCAGCAATTCAAATGTTGATGATTTTTCCACATACGAGGTGCGATCGGAAAGTTTCAAGACTGCGCCTATAAAAACCCGTACAATTATCTCAGGTATTAAATTCATCCATCACCCTCGAAGTAGTTCCCCTGGGAGTGAACACAACGATCCCAGCGCCGCTGCCAAGCCTGGAAG